ATATTTCTATGTGACGGAACCGAGCCGCAATTATTATTACCGTTCGCACGGTTTACGTTCTCTCGAGGCCCCCCTATATGTACTAATTATAAACTAGAAACTTTTATTATTTATTGCCTCCAATCCTCCAGAAAACTACTCTCGCATACACACACCTAACGATGGAGAAACTGATTTATCGAAACCGAATCTACCATCTATACATGTTGCGCAAATTAATATACCACAAAATGAATGAGTAATGGTTCTTCAGGTCTAGGTAGCTGCAGACCCCCAGTATCCGCGTTCTTGTTGGTATTTTTAGATGGGGTGACAGGGGGTTGAGTAATCTAAATATAGCCGGAGGTTAAGGTTCGTAAAGAAGCTGCGGCTAAGCCTACTTCTAGGTGATAATTGTCCCAAACGGAGGCGTCCGTAAAATGTGAAAAGGTTCGCAACAACTTATCCGGTACGAATCTGCGATGCCACAGGGGACAAACGTATACCCACAATCATTACAGATAATTATTACATGCATGTCATATGTGAGTACTTAAGCGGCACGCCCATCGTCCAATGCCGACCAATGCAAGCACACGCACCATAGCACTATTGGTCACCAATTCGTACGACGCAACTATAATTTAACCACAGCAATACCATCGAAAATTTCAATCCAAAGTCCATAACTATCATATAATACGAAGGAAAATCCAATGCCAACAAATTTCCAAATTCCATAGTATAACGGAATCATATTCACTAGTAGCACACACTAAAAGTTTTCATTAATGTTTTCCCATTATTTTTTTTTACTAAATTTTAATTAATTCTGAAAATTCTTTCCTATCCAGATAATTTTGTATATCAGGAAAATTAAGTGGAAAATTATATATTTTTTTTTAATAATACACAAAATTATAAGTGATATTTGAGGAAACAATAGTCACAATTATGATACCTGTTTCAGTTGTCTAGGATAATAATATTTTCAGTTTTTATGTATACCAAATTATTAATTTTGAGTATCTCTATTGAAGATAATACAAAATAAATGCTAAAGAAATACTATTAATTGTCATTCCAAGAACTCTTGCCAATTTAGTTTTAGTTATAACACATGCATGCATAAATAAATTGTAATAATAAAATAGTGAACTTATACCGAAGGAATTGGGAAGGTTTGTCGAGCGAACAATGTGCGTTCGACAAACATCGTTTAAATGGGCGGCGAGCCCCCAATTAAGTGCACTATTAAAATCAAATTAAGGGAACGGAACCCCCTTCGAAGGTACACAAGAAACTACTCTCTTTCTTTCTCTCTCTCTCTCTTGGTATTTTTTTTCGCTTTCTTTTTGTTGCATAATAATAACTTTAAATTGGGAATAATTAGGTTCTGGGAAGCAAAAAAATAAATAAATATATATATACATATTAAAAGAAAATAAAAATAACGTGTGTTGCGTGTTGATCGTTTGGTGGGGAGGGTAGACCTGAAAATGGAATAATGGCTGTGCAGCGCCCATTTTGCGTCAAGAATTAAGGGGGTGGGCGGGGGCGCAGATTTTCGGATTACGATCTCCGGGTGTGAGGGGGTTGTTCGAGGGGCGAGGACGACAGCGCTCCACGTTGTTGAATATGCAAAGATAATCCGGCCGCGATAACTCCGAAAATAAAATAAACTACGAAACAAGCAGGGAAAAAAATATTGTATATAGTGTAATATATATATATATATAGAAGTATACGTTATGTGGAAAAGAGTACAGAAAGGGCAGCAGCGGAAAGCATTCCGACATAAAGAGTGGTCGAATGATAATTTTTCTCTCGTACAAGGATTTCATTGTTTCCATGGAATGAATTGCAAAATGCTCTTCGTTCCATTCTTGTGTTGCGGCCGTTTCTTCTGCGGAACATATGTTTATTGCCCCGTTCCAATCCCAAATGCTTTAAATGTATTGGGTGAAATTTATGGCGCCCGACCTCTCGCAATTTATTAATGAAATCCCCCGCGTGAATTATATAAGAAATCCCGTGAAAAGCGCAACCTCGACATCGAAACCTCTGACCCCAAACCGCCGCTTGAATAATATATTTATATACATTATCCTACATACACATAGATGTAACTGTCCAAAAAAATGCTTACCTAGCGGTTGTCAAATTCACAAACACTGATTCATTCATAGCCACTCCGCTTCTATAATTCAAATTTGTATCCTCGACTTACGAACAAAATTCTAAAAGCTCTAACTTGTTACAAGGACATATATAGTGATAAAAAAATTAATTGTCCAAACATTATTTTTTAATAAAATATAATATTTTTGGAAGATGTACTGATTTGTTTCTTTTGTCGTTTTTTTATTAAATAATTGTGATGTCTACATTGAAAAGTATTTGTAAGTAATTATTTTGTTGATTTTAATCTATTTTTTTCAAATTTATACAGTCAGTATTACGAAATTTAACACATAAAAATAAAAAGTGTGGTAAGATAAGTATATTTTGAAATTTTCCCCTGACTTACGAACAACCCTTTGCAATAGAACTAGTTCGTAAGTTGGATGTTAAAATTCATATATTTTCTTTTTAAAAATAAAATCTTCAAATTAATTTTGTGTAATGTCTTTATAAAACATTGATTAATTTAAATAACATTAATTTTCTAAATTGCATTTTGATGATGTATATTTAAAACATAATACATTTGAAATCTTATGTAAAATTAAAAACATGGTATTTAATAAATTAACAATTTTCTTGAATGACTAAACAATATATTTCTTAATTACAGTTTCTAAGAAAACTGAAACAAGTTTATTTAATTATTTATCTTTAATTTTTTTTTTAAACTACAAATTACTTATTAATGATGTTTGTAAAACGCATAAAAACAAAACACAAATTATAATTAATGATTGTTGACTTAAGTTACAATGCAAATATCGTAATTAAATAAGTATATTGAAAATTTATTAAGTAAATGGATTCAAATATTTACAAAAAGATTGATAACATTTCTCAAAAAGCCAATAAAAATAAATTGTGTAATCAAAAATTAGTTATAGTTAATTATTTTAAAGAATACATTTTATTAAATTCATGTTATTGAATGAAACAAAAAGGATATTTGGAATTAGTACCAAAATAGGATTTGGGAAAGTTCTGATCCGAAATGCACGCAAACCTAATCGGAGTAGAAATGCCGTCATCGTCGTTTCCAATAATATTTCGTTTAATTGATTAATAAATTATTCATTCGACGCGCATAACTGATCCAAAGGCGAATAATTTATCACCGGATTATAAATAAATGAACAATGTGTTTCGAACGGCATAATTGCTTATCAAACACATAAACAAGCAGACATTTTTTCCACCTCGGCATTAATTGTTCATCACTATTTAAAGCGTGATCTCACAATTGCCTGTAAGATGTTCACACATTTTGTTTTCATTTGTTTCCTTTGGTGCGACGAGCGAATTGAAGCAACCGATTCCCGCCGCCGCACAAAAATTTCCAATTACGTATTTGCCTACCATTTCCACAATTCCTCTAACCTGGTTAATTGCTTCCAACGAAAACATGTTAATCAGCGGCCTCCTGCGATTGCTTTTCCATTAGATTAGAAACAACCGTGAAATGCCATTAGCTCGCATTTTTTCTTTTTATTACAATAGGTACTTTTTCATTTTTTTTGTTTCATTTTTCATATTTCTCATTGTTGTTCAGTTTCGTCGACGAGGAATAGGCCAATATCAATATATGTAACGCGTATTATCCAACTATTAACATATTTTACGGTCACTTGACATTTCCTCGAATAACTCGCGAACAAAGCCATAGATTTACTGCGATTACCATAATTATGGAAAAGCTTTACGAAAACGAATGTTTATTTGCTCCGACGCAAACCCACATTTACAAGCTAATGCCAATCGTTGAAGAATTTAATAAGACGTCTCATGGCCAAATTTTCGTTCGCCGTTTACTTAAAGATTAACGTTAGCGCTATCAGAATAAAGATCAAAATTAGTCTCAGGTTTAAATGGAACTTATCATTAGTGGTAACAATTTTATGATACATATTAGTCAATAGATATTCAATGAAGCTGATACTAATAGTTAAAGAAATTAATGAACTAGTATATATCATGGTCATAATTCGTGCTTCGTTTACATAGAGCTTAAAAGTAGTAATAACAGTAGTCATGATTAATAACGTGTTAAAATATTTTTTTAAACTATTATCAGTAGCAATTCAATACAAATAGAATAATTGTATATAAGTTTATAATATTGCAAAAAGTTGTTTAGATTTTTTTTTTAAATATTTTGTTTAAGATTTACTATACAGAAGTTTGCTTCATATAAAATTGGCAAACAAATTTCCAAATCGCTTTCTTTGTTTATGGTGTACACATTTGTAAATAATTGTTTTGGACGTCATACATATGCAACAAGGCTTCCGAAAGAGTAAACATTCCTGAATAATCTTAAAATTTCATAAATATTCAGTTCAGTCAGTCAAAATTTTACTATTTTTTAAATATTATAAATTGTATATCAACACTTTAATTATTAAAAAGTGCAATACAAATCATCATAAAAATTACTTATGTTTATTTTCGCTTTTGAAAAATTATATTAAATTGGGATGATTTAATGATTTTTAGGAGAGCGTTCAAAACAAAACATATATACACTCGATCCTTCTTTAATGTTGGGAATATATATTTGATATACATTTTGGATTTGAACACTCCAAGGTAGGGAATCAAAACGCGCGTCGACAGTCCCAGAAGTGCGTCTCGTGGGATTTACTATAGATCCTTGTTTAAGTTTCGCAATCCGAAGAGTAAACTGAAAGTTAACTAACCGACGGGAATGGAAATTAATCGGAGTGATCAGTAATGAAACTTCCGACGGTCCGTAAAATATTCATAAAGAACTTTTTGCTTGTTCTTTCTTAGTTATTTGTTTATTTTTTTAGATGAATTTGTCTTTAATTAATTACCTTCTTCGTTTCGAATAGTGTGCAACGGGCATTGGCGCGTCCTGGGGCATGGGCATTGGTGGTACCTGGGGATGATGTGGGGGCGGAGGCGGCTGCAGGTAAGTCGGTGGCGGCGCATAATGTGGGGGGCCGCCCCCTGCGTACGCGTACATATCCACTTTTTAAAAATGTCTTTACTCCTCTGGACAAAAGTAACGCCCGAAAAAAAATAAATAAAATTACAACAAATGTTTTAAAAAAGCAACAAAAGCACCAAAACACGAGCAAAGTTCGAACTTATTCTTCTGTAATCAATTGTTGTTTTGTTTTTCGTTTTTGTGTGAGGGATGAAATTCTTCGTAACGGAAACTATCTTGTAACACGCGTCAGCAGCACATGCTCATCGGAGGACCGGAAAACAGCAAGCGTGCTTACGACACGAAGCGCAAAGCCGCACTGACGGGACAAAGTTTCACTGGGAAGGAACAGTCGACCGCGCGATACTCCGAGTGGGGCGGTATATACCATAGCATAGACTGTATAGCCACCAACAGGTATATCTCGTAGAAACAACCCCGCATTATGGGTGTACCATCGCCCATCTCGACCAGCGCTTCACACACTCCACAGACGTAATTACAACCATTCACAAACCGCAATTTCGAGCAACATTTCCATTAGATTAGGGATACCTCGACATGGGAAACAAGATGATAGTTACATCGAATGCTAAACCTCAGATATATACCTATTTTATTCTTCCGAAATCCAACTTTAACTTTATAGCTATTAAGAAAGCAAATAAACTAAAATTCTAAAATGTTGCTACGAAAATATTTTCATCAAAAAAATATTCTAAAATATTTTTGCACAAACCTATAGAAATATATAGTAGTATAAATTTCAAGATATTTCTATGTTAAGGCATTTTTTGAGCAATTCATTAAAAAATTTCAATTATTTATTCATTAGTAGTATAATTTATTTATTTTTTAAATTATACATACGATTATTTTAAAAAGAAACAAGTAATTTTAATTAAATTTATATTTTTCATAGTATGTCAAAATTCTTATTATCATACGTATCTCTCAATATATATATATATTCTCCTCGTTTTTATTGGTGCTGAGAAAATTGCGTTACGTTGAATAATGAATGAGCTCTGGCTCGGTTTTGAGGGTGGGTGTGCAAAATAGGGGGTGGCAACAGCGACGTCGGAGGCGCTATACTTGTCTCCTTCCCACTCTCATGTTTGCGGTATTACGGGTCGAGGAGATTTTAATTTGAGATCGTCTCTTTATAAAATTAAGCAAGAGATTGATGTCGGAGGTCCTCGAAAGCGCGCTCCACCCGACTTATACATACATATATGTAGATGTGAATACTTAAGTGGCGCAGAGGAGGATAAGGTAAGCTGAAGATTAAGCCAGCCCCGGAGCCATCAGTATTCATGAAATGGGGGGCGGCTAGGCCTCTCTATCTATGTATATATGTATGTACATACATACGCGAATCTCTGCTAGGATAAGATGCAAAGCTTTATAAATGATGTGTCTAAACTTAGAGCGACTAATAACCTAATACTCCCAAAATCCTTATTCATTTATATTTATATCTCGCGCCAGGGCGGACGGACCTTGAGGAGGCGGCGAGGGCGGCAGCCTCGATAATCATTTATTTTCCACCGCGGTTTTAAATGAAACAGGTACGCCTCTATCGAAATTAACGTTTCCCAGGCGGTAATCCTTAAAGCTCCGAAGACAGAACGACGCACGGAGAGCGCAACGAACGTAAGTTTGCCGATCGGATCAACACCCCTTGATTGCTTACAGTTTGACGTTGTTAACTTGATGAAACAAATATTGTTATTTTATGTGTACAATGTGGAATCTCGTCGCGCTTGAATCGTCGCATCTCGCAAACTATCTTTAGAGATCTCCGTCGGATTCACTTCTAGAAACTTCATTGCAATATATTTTGTACCTGTTCAGTCGGGATAGGAAGAAACGGAATAAAGGTGCCACCTCGTGTGTTTGGGTGGGGGTGACAAGGAAAAAAAAAACACGTACCCTTGTAAATCGCCCACCAAAAACACGTGTTCTACGGCCTCGATTTTCTGGAGAAAGAGAAGAACGGAAAAAAGGGAATCTTTTCCTCTCGCTCTCTCTTTCCATATCTTAATAAATCCTCGCAAAATTTATTACCGCTCATTTTATTACCTGAAGCTCAACCTTTCCTCATCTCTATACTCCATACATACCACCTATTTGTTTCATACCTTTTTTTTTTTATTATTCTAGCAGCGATAAATCCTCGCGTCTTATTAAGCAAATCGACGTTCATTCTCATCTCATTTTTTACTGTATGCAAAATCTCCAGGATTAGAAAGTTGCGAAGATCGATGATCGAAGTTCGGGAATTTTGAACCCTTTCGCCGTTTCCGAGCTTTTATGGATTAGACGAATTCGCGAAAGGATACTTTCTCCGTTTCAAACTTCCGCGTAATCCTTGCGCGCTCCTTATCACACTTAAGCTCTGCTCCGAACTTAATGAAAGCTCCGAAAGCCCGAGTTTATCTTTGGGCTCAGGATTCTTTCACGCCGACAATTCGGATCAACCTTCGTCGACGTTTCTTAATTTATCTCGGTGGTAAATCAATTTCGTTTCATTAAGCTTATTTCAAACTGTGACTTAATGCGATCAGAGATTTTATTCTATTTTGCTTGTTATTTTTTCAATTTGTAGAATTACACTTAAGAAAAATGTGCACTGTTTAGGAGCCACCCAAAGGACACCTGCGGCAGATAAAGTAATATTTTTAAGGGAGGACACCTGAAACTGTAGTTCCTTTCTTTATTCTCTGCTTCTTGTTATCTTCTCGGGGGAAGCGGAGCTACCACGAAGTCATTTGCATTTATTGTTCCCTCTCTTTCTTCGTCCACTGATTTGTCACACTCGACGAAACTCCAAAAAGGCGCTTCCGGCGTGTCCCAATTACATCACCCCAGGTGTCAAATTCTATGTAGTATTCTCGATACTTTATTGTATGTAATATATTAGGGGGCGTTCTTTGTACATTTATTTATCCTCATCTCGAGTTCTGCGCTCTTCCTCTCTCCTCGCAATATAAAAAGCTATTTTTTTTTGCTTCTCTCTCTCTATCTTTTGGTGTTTAATTCCAACGCGGGGCAATTTTGTGGCGCGCGAAGAGGCGACCCCGGCAACAATGCTTAATAACGTTTTCGGAGATTCAATTATGATAAGCGAGTTATTCCCCGCTTATCAGTTAATAAATAGTCGGCAATGGCTTCGGCTGATATTAAATATAAGAGCGAAGTTTCGCCCTCGCCTTTGCACGATAAAAGCCGCCCTCATTATTTCAAATTAAAATGTCTTCCATGGATCGTCTTAGTCTTAACGCAGAAAAATTTCTTGATACTCTGACCTATCATTTCCATGATGATTCAGAAGAGTCCAAAGTCTAACTTCAAATATTACATCAACCACAGCTTTATCAAGTGGATTATACTATACTAAACAGTTAAAACAAAAAATATATTTAGTGTATCAAATAAACAACATCCTGAAATTACCTCTTCAAGCCTTCGTACAAATAAAGCAGAAGAGAAAGTTCTTTTTTTTTTAATTTATAAAATGTATTTAAAGTCAAACTTCAAATATTCGTACAAATAAAACAAAAGAGAAAGCTCATTGTTTTTTTTTAAATTTACATCTTTAATGGCTAGAATATTACCCGAATGTTGTATTTAAATACAGGAATAAACCAAAGACTGGATTAATTAGTAACATATCGAAGAAAAATTAAGTCATAAAGTATGCTTCATTTTGTACAGTTAATAAAAAGTTAATTATCAAATTTAGTATTTTCTTTAATAACTCAGTAATTGCTCTTACCTATAAACATAAAGAAATGTAAACTCTGTTTATCCTTTAATTGAAAGTGTGATAATAAAAAGGAGATACAAAATAAATATTTGATGTATCAAAGAACGTTTTGCATCGCTCTATAATCTTCAGCTATAACTAGAAAAGTAATTAGTAACAAAAGCAATTTGACTAATTTGAATTAGAAAATATATAAAGACTTGAACCCATTACGTCCCCCTTTCTCTTTCATGTCGTGGGGGGTTGGTTGGTTGCTTGGTAGTGTGTTGTATTAAAATGTAAACCGAAATTTCCCGTTAACTCCAAAAGTAGGTTAATGAATCCTCGTGAATTCAGTTACTCACGACATGGGGAGGTGGTTGGCTGCCTGCAGTACGTATTTATGATCCATTTGCATTGACTTCCACCCCGAGCAATACGCGTGCTGACCAATAAAAGCAAGCACACGTTAATGAAATTGCAATGACCATTAGTAATTATTTAGAAAAAAAACTACTTTTTTCTCATCTTCTTACTATCAATACGCAGACAAATTAAGATTAATTTTAACACTCAATGTACTATAGTTCTTAATGTTAATAATAGGAAGTCAATCTCTGAGCTATACCACTTTTATTAAACAAAGAAGTCGAAAAGTGGATTTCAGTTTCGTTGTGATGTACAAACATTTATTTAGTTCCATTTTCCGTGCAACGTTATAAAATTGTTTCTGCTGTTTATTTTAGTTTAAAATAGGAAAAATTGCAGTTGCTAGGCATATGTTGAGGAATGCAAATATTCAGATGCGCGATATCCTCTACGGATGATATTTTGGGGGAGGAAAAAGTGGTTAATGTTTGGGCGATATCGCGGTTGTATGTAGCGACTAAGTTACGATAAAAAAAAATGTGAAACAGGAAGGCGCCTGTTCTATCGCGAAAACGGATTGCCGCGGTGCCGGGGAAATCGTAAACTCCTGGAGGTAAACGGTAGTTAACCGGAGAAGCGCAAACAAGTGGAAAATCGTCGGGTTCGGAAATAAGTCCGGGAAATCGCGGTCGCCTCTGCCTCCAAAGGTTTTAGTATTCCACAAACACATCGGCGATTAATTAATGCCGCCGACGGCAAACAGTATTTCTAATTAAGCCGGAGGATTAATAATATATAACCACTGCGCGATGAAGCCTCTTCCTGCGGCTTCCAGAGACTTTTTCAACTGGAGCGGTTGCCTTTCTTCGGCAGATTATCGCCACCTGGAGGCTGATGTCCAATCCAATTACCCGCCCCCGCCGTCTCCCGTGCATAAATTTTCCCACGCCGAGGACGGGTGGAGGAAATATTTAATTGATTCGAAGGAACGCACCAATTAGCCAGACGAAAAATATCCGCAATTAGACGCCAAGAAACCGATTTGCCGTAATGAGGCTCCGGGAATGTTTTTTCTTCTTCATATGACTCCTAGACACTTTACTGCACGAAATTGCTTCTTAGGCTTATGCTATCTCCATTACAAAAAATAAATACAAATCACCTAAATTCTGCATAAAACCAAAAGCAGTTACAATCTATAAAATCGTAAAGAACGAAATCCCAAATCTATAATTAGATGTCAATTTAGCACGAGTTTTACATATACATTCGAATTCTAAGAACATGTTTCAATTTCAGGAAAAAACTCAAAATCTGTAAAACTTTGTATATATTTTCTGATTATATAATTAACATTTCGAGAGAAATGAAATATCTCATAGAATACACAACATTTGATTATGATAAATCCGAATATGTGCTAAGTTTGTTGACTATACACCAATACCCAGTTTCAATGAGCATATGAATGTTTAAACAGAAGATTTCATACTGTGTTTTGTAAATGCTTCCAAAACTCCATGTAGAAAAAGGTACGGAAAACACACAAAACAAAATAATTTCCACAATGACATTATTTAATCAACGAATCGGTTTTGGAAATGCATTAAACAGAAAGCTTAACTCACACGGATCCGCGATGTATAACGAAATAGTAATTAAAACATCATTACCTATGTAAAACGCGTATATTAAAAGCACATAATCATTGTAAACAATTAAAAAAACTTAACTGCTATGTATATGAAAACCTTTAACAAGTAAATTACAATGTCCATAGTTTTCTTTATACAAAAAAAAATCATTAAAATTTTGTTATTATTAAGATTATGATTCATTTAATCATCATGAGTAATTTCTGTCTCTACATGGAACAATTATGAAAACATATATTTAGACAAAACAAAGAAAAAATTTCATAAAATGGTAGAACATATGTGTAATGAGAATATTCTATACGCAATAGTAATAATTTCTTGCAAGAATTACCCAATTCTAATGAAAATACGAAATCTAAGGAAATTATGTAATGATAGCGTTATGCGAAGTTTAATGGTATGCAACACACTGAACACACGTTTCCTGTAGAAATTAGAATATGCAACACACCATACTCTAGTCTTGTATCTCGAAAGGATTGCATATTCTACATTTCTAGTTGTATTTATTTAAAAAAATCAATTAAGTCGAAAATAAAACTACATATTATGTAAATGTGAAGCGGTGCGGGTGTTACGACATCTGTATTTAAAGTAATGCAGTTGACGCTACGGTGCGTTATTTTACCGGCAACCTTTGGCGCTAAATTCAAACTAGGACAAACGTCGCCATCCCTAGGGAGAGCTCCCCCAACAGTGCTAAATGCATTAGGCAAGACCCAATGGGGAGGTTATGCTCAAAAACCTAATTACTCACCCTATACTTCCGGCCCTGCGTTTTTGAATAACCTTCGTTGGATCAGTACCTAAAATAGAAAAAAAATGTAATCACATCTATCAACCTGCCTGATGTTACATAATTCACATGTACATTTGTCGAGTTGCTTTTTTGTTTGTCTAGAAAAACTATATGAGTGGTATGATAAGAAGCTATTTGTATAGGGAACACCTTAGGTACAATGTGTGTATGTGTGAGTGCACGGAGCAATGCCATTTTGCTTGTTACTGCAAAAAAAAATCTGGTGAATCCTAGAACATGAGAAAAAAATTAAAATTATTGAGATCAATAGTTAATTTAAAAGGTAAAACACATGATTAGAGTCTTATTGGATTAACACCGACATTGCAGTAACATTTAGACAAACAGCAAACAACATTAAACATAGGTATTATAGAACAAATTGTGATGGTGCGGTAAGAATGTGAATGGAATAATGTTGTGCTAGGATGATTGTATTGAGAAATGTATTGTGTACAGTGGTTTCCCCAATTGGATGCTTTCGGGGCAGTGTCAAATCCAACAGTGGTTGTTTGGTATTAATAAATTAAAGACATGAGTAAGAGACATGAACAACATCAACAAAAAATATATGTGGTGTATGGAATAAAAAAAACAATAAATAAATAACAGATAGAGAAAGACTAGAAGAAATACTAGCCTGGTACTGGATGAGTTAAAGCAGACATCTGTATTATAAACCATGCATGAAATTTTGTTTTATTTTTACTTCTAAGAATCACAGACACACCAAATTCTTAAACTATTTTCACACAGAATAGTAACGGAAATTTATTTACTAACAATAAAAATCTCACAACTGTTTACAACAGAGACACCGCCATACTAGAAAAAGTGTCCGCTAGGGTGGGAGGCGACTATTATACCTCATTCACTAGACTGGGGATGTTGCCAAACCCTCACGGAAATCCCTTCGCGACCAACTTCATCCTACCCTCTAAGCTACCCTTCGATACTAGAGTACACCATCCACCACCCAACTTCCTGTTCATTCCTATTTATAAATCGGGGTATCAACACCATATGTGGAACAGCCATTTTCCAAAAACCCTTACCATCATATACCAAAACCATTTATAGATTATTTTTTGATAATACTACTTTATATGACAAAATAAGTACATACATTTATTTAAATATAATGAGTTAGCATAGCAATTACGTAGCATTGCCATGTTGCGGACAGCTTTTCTTCGTCCTCTACTATTTATGTAGGGGACAAGATGCACCCTTATTTAGAAACACCCCAAGGGTATAAAAAAATACTACCCGCGTTGCCAAATCTAGATATATGTATGTTGCAATAACTAGGACAAATTCAAAAAACTTTATATCGATTTGAACTCCTTGGAATTTCAATATAATTATATTTACTGTTATAAATTGAGCGTTTTTTGTGAAATAGTCTACCGTTATTCCATTTTTATTTTGCAAAGGTTGCTAAATGATTCTAGGAACTAAACCAATACAAACATTTTAATGATGTAACTTAAATAAATATATATTTTTAGTGGATTAGCATTCCACTAAAAATATATAAAATTACAAATACCCTTTACCTTACATCTTGCAGTAAGTAATACTTGTCAAGTAATAAGAGTATTGTATGAGCGTTCTACTTGATTCACTTGACGAATAGACAAAGTACGTAATAAAAAACAGGTTGCGTGTAGCCACCTTTCGATAGAGACTAATTAAACAAAGTTACATGAAAAAGAAAAACTGTTGGGTGTACCTGCATAAAACATTTATTTTAAATCAGGTTCTTAATAATAAAAGAAAACACGTACTTCCAGAATAAACTATACATTTTAAAATCAAAAGAGCGGTATTGCTTTTATCTTCAAAACGCAAACAAAGCAATTTTACACCGCACAATTATAAACGAACATAACTGATGGCTTTAAAATTCATTTCATCAGATGATATTTAACATTGGTATGAACTGTGCTTGACAATTAAATATTAAAAAAAAATGGTGTTTATTAAATATCTTGGGTTGTGGACTTACCTTTGAAGGGATCTTTTATTTTGGGTAAATTATGTGATAAGTTACATAAGAAGTTACATAAAATAAAAAAAAGTAGATAGCTTTTAAAAAGTTGTTCGTGTATATTACAATAAAAATTAAAAATTAGTGGTATTTAGCCTAGGTAATACATTTTCTGGAATAGTTAAATATTATATAAATTAAAAAATAATAATAATTAAAAATAATATATATATATTCATATATATACGTTTTTAGCGAAGACAACAAAAAAACAGGTTTGTTTCGTTCTGCTGGACCTATTTTCTTTATATATATATATTAATATATTGATATATCTAAGAATGGGAAGTAAGTAAAAGATCTGAATTTATTTAGCATTTACTTAACTTACATAATGCAATCATACATAAGATGGATTATACCTACAGCCAGAAAAATATCACCACATATTTTAAACTACACTTGAGTCTAGAGATTTGACTGCATATCTACTTATATTCTGCTCTCGCATAAAAAGAGTCCTCATCAAACAATTTTTACGTTGATTTTTCGTCAAATTTTATTTTCATCAATAATACCTAAGTGGGGTGTATAAAACATTTCTAATCGTACATAGAAAATTAAAACTTGTATAAAAAACACCATTTTTTTTTTCGGTACTTCCTTTGTACATTTATTTAATCAATTTGAGACATATATAAAGCATTCGCACAGTTAATACCAAACATGAAAAGAAAAAAATCGTAGAACTGAGATGATGCGCATCAGAAAAGAAATAAAATTAAAAAAATATCATTTGAACGAAATTGGATTTTTTTTGCTTCGAATATAATTAATCATAATAATAGTAACATATTAGATAAATTTCTCCTTGTTTTTCATTTTTGCTGTTTTTGATGATGAAGGGGCGTGTGTGAGTGTGTATTGTGTGTTCCTTTTTCGTATGTGTATGTGTTTTTCGTGTAAAAAAAAAGAACGAAGATAGAGGGCGGGGGGTGTTGTTGTTTCAAGAACAGAAAAATCTGAAATTTATGAAATGAAATTAGAGTAACCAAACAGATAATACACAAGACCTTCGTTTTAAATCCCGTCTTCTGGTGGCGTCTAGTTGACAAATATACAGTATGCGGAATACAGTAAAGAAGTAACTAGATGCCATCAAATATTTTCAGTCTTGTGGTTACGAGAGTTGGGAGGAACTTAAAATAAAAATCTTAAATGTAAGTATATTACATATCAGTTAGTATGGTCAGGCCGAGGGTCCTTACTTTAGCCACCACCACTACTGCCACAGAAAAATTAAAATAAAAAATAATTAAAAAAAATATGTATATAATAATAGAAATGCCGCGACACAAGTTCACCAGCCACATCTCCCACTTGATGTTTTTTTCTTTCTTAATTTCTCCGTTTATATATACTTTTTCTTATATATATATATAATGTATATATATAATAAAACTCCTCTTGCACACTTGTAAAATATTGGTAAAAGTCTGCAATCGCGCTATACAGGAAAAGGTTCTGTACACCAGAGTCAGTCAATTAATCTGTACAGTAAATTATAAACTTCTACAAGGAAAGATTAGCTATGGGATATTTTATAGAGCACTTTAGAGAGTAGCAGCGCCACTTGTTGATCTAAGATTTGGCTCATGACCAGAGCTAGCAGTCGAGACTCTTGTTGTACAAGCAGAGGCCTATTCTCGGGATGTTCTGCGAGGAATACTAGGGTGGAAGCGGCGCGTCTTAACATATCTAAACTTGTACCCATCGAGTCTGGATTGTCACGCAACGCACCAATTCCGTGCTGATTGGCGACACCGAGAGCACTTTGCTCTGCCTGCTCAATGAATGCGACCAATAGCGAGACGCACGGCTGCTGCATCGCAACAACACGGGCCATGCTGCTGTCGGCAGCGGCCATGTAATGCAGCAGGTTTATCGAGAACTCCCGCAGCACTTGATCTTCGGACCGGCACAAATGCTTTGTCAGTACTGTACACAACCTCTCCAGCCTCGAGAACGGCGGCGTCGCTATTACTAAATCCACATTACTATTTGTAACACACAGTTTGCAAAGTGCTTCCAACGCTAATCGCTGCGGTGACAGAAGCGACGAAGGTCCTGCCGACGGGAACGGATCCTGACCCTGCGCCGATGGGCAGATTGCCCAGTGAAGAAGTCCATCAAGCAACGGTCGGGCAATCTCTTCCGGATACTGATCTAGGTCAATTTGTCCCGCGATGTTTGCAGTCGACACAAGTACATTCTCCCTGATTTGCAATAGAAATTCCCACCACCATTCGCCCTCGCCCTGCAGGCTGCTGCACGAATCCGCAAAATCTGCGTCCTCCTGAAACAAAACCACCTACTCTTAAAATTCCATCAATCATTGCATATAACAAACATGGACACGCACATAGTTGTGCCGTATCCATGTGGTTTTCGAAAAAAGCGATACGAACCTCCCGATCATAATTCCTCGTCTTCAGCGTCCGCGCGGGATGCTCGTGATGTAGCAGCAGCAACTTGCCGACAAGACCCAGGAAACTGGAACTCTTCGCAAACTCGCCCTCGTTCCCGGGGACAAAGGTCAGACTCCTCAGGATGTTCGATATACACACGCACCGTTTCCCGACGCAATCCTGGCTCTCGGTGAGTAGAACCAGACTTGCCTCATCCCTTGTGTAAGCTTCGTCCTCGTAATCAGACATGCGTTTCCGTTTTAATGTGCCCGCTACGTCGCGCACTTTATTTTTGGAATCATCATCATCTCTACACTCACCATCGTCACCATTCAGATCTACGTCACTCGGAGCTCTTTGCTGCTCACGACAGTTCACATTTTCACTCACTTGCACCGTCGTCTTGGCAGTTTCAGTCGTGTTCTTTTCTTTCAAGTCCAAAACAAGCAAGTCATTCTCTTCCGGCGTATCCTTTTTAATTCGAGATATCACATCACTTAATGTTTTTGTCCTACGTTTTTTGTCACTAGGTTTGATTGCCGAAATCACTTCGGGCGGGGGAGATTTGCAGGGCTCAGATTTAATCACCGTTCCGCTGCCGTCTTCCTTCTCGGTTTCCTCGTCCTCATCCTCTTCTTCTTGATCCTCATTCTCTTCCTTCACTTGACATTTCTTGTCATCTAACATCCTATTGAACGGAATGCGTCCGAACTCCGCTTGGAAGGTCGGCAAGATGTGATCAGCCGTTAGATGCCAGGGATCGGTGACTATTTCTGCTAAAATATTAATACCAGCTGCATCGCCCCGCGTATCCCAATCTTTGTGGTGATCGTGTATAAAAATGTCATCATGCTTTTCAATAAGTTTCACTTGATAGCCTTTTCGCGTCAAAAATGTAAAATTATTGGTTTTGCTCAAAACCACCGTTCTAGTATCAGGGTTTATCGGAACATCAACTGCACCCAAGTCGTACTCAACCTGGTCAACCTTCCTCTCTGCTGGACATGGTCCATCAAACATATCCGACAGGCTCTTACGAAAATGTTCTAGCAGGAGATCGATTAGTCCGGGCCACTGATTTAAACTGAAGTATGCTATCGCAGTGTCGTCAAACAGCAGCACGTTTAGCATGTCCAAAGCAAAACAACTTTCCGCCAATAGACCAGATCGCAAACACATAATAATTCTCCAGGCGTCTACAGGCCCAATGTCTGCTCTACACAACCTCTTCCTGCGATAAAGCACAGGTACAGTCGCCTCTACACTATCCGGAGGAAAAGTAATCTCTCGTTTTGGCAATTGGCCTGGAGCATAACAACCAGTGTTCGGTACTGGCAGTTGCGGCCCTTTGGCGCCCTGCGGTGGCATTATATTGAACGGTTTTCCTGGTCGCGGTCCTCCGAGCGGTGGTCGCAATGGTGAGCTTTGACCAACACCCGGCGTCGGTATTGCTGACCACTGTTGACCCGGTTGGGATCCTGGCTGATACCCCTGATTCCCTCCTAAAGGATAACGCTCCCATCCTGGTCCAGGAGGACGCGTGTTCTGATTCCACTGTTGTCCTGCAGCGGGCGTGTACTGTCCTCCTCGATACTGAGTGTTGTTCGGCCAGCCGCCTGCAATGAAAAAAAAATAAATAAAATTTTAAGTTACATTCAATAGACCAGTAGTTATTCGTGAAACTTACTGTAAATCTGAGGCCTTTGTTGTCCGCAGAATGGTTGATAACCTTGTTGCTCTTTTGCGAAATCAGGATGTCTTCGTGGACCACCGTGCTGCGGCGGCGGCATATTTTTGTTCGGGGTTGGACCTCCCGAGTAATTTGCAGGAGTTGAACCAGGCTACAAATAGAATCATTAGTTCCATTATATATGTAGCTCGCTATTATAGAAAACATACTTGTTCTGGTCTGTAATATTCCTGCTGTGAGGGATAAGGCGCGCTTCCACCAGGCGATTGTGAATTCGGTCCACCTGGACCAGGGGTACCTGGAGTACCAGTATAAGCAGGTCTAGGTGTGTATCCACCACCAGGTCCCGGAGCGCCACTGGTGCTGCTGCTGCTGCTACCAACATTGTATCTGTAAGGATCCTGCGTAGTTCCCTGCGGAGTAGTAGTGCTCGATTGCGGGGTATTATTGGGACTGGCAGGTGGTGCACTTGAATCTCCGGAATAAGGAGTATATACTGGTCTGGTCGGAGGATATCCCTGTCCTCCAGGATATGGGGAATACTGGTCAGGCGGCGCTCCGGGTCCAGGTCCAGGAGCGGAATACTGGTTATAAGTACCAGCAGTTTGCCCGCTATATGACTGTCCTTGTGGTCGTGGTGATGTACCAGAAGTATAAGGTTGATGTGGTCCACCCGGAAACGAACCTCCTCTTGGCGGAGGACTAGGAGATACGTCATCGAATGGATTCGACACATTAACATTATCCGAAGCCCCGCCTGCAGGGCCAGGACCACCGGGTGTAGCATTTCCTAAGTGGTTGCTACCTGCAGTTCCTTTAAGAAAAATAACGAACAACCGTAAGATATAACACAAAGCAATTTAAGAAGCTACATGGCAATACCATTGGACGTTGCATCTAATTCAATCATTTAATTTAATAATACAAATCGAAACTACACGAACTAAGTGGATAAAATATAGACGAAATGTAAATTCGACATTTTTTTGTGATTTTGCTCAACTAAAAGCAAAGAAAAAGTAATCTTTTTTCTTCGTTTTTTTTTGTATGATCGTGAATCGCACGGTGTATTTTGATATTTACCTCCGTGTGGTGAAGGCGCGTTTGCTTGTGACGATGGTCTATGTGGTGGAGTATTATAATCAGGATTTCCTCCTGGTGGATAGGCGTAGGGACCATAACCGTCCATGGATGCACCACCAGAACCGGGTGCAGGGAACGAATCCTGCGAGTTTGATGAACCCGGGGAAGGAACAGAAGCTGCCTTGGCACTCTTCTTCTTTGAAGACGCTTCTACTTGATTTATGATCGGCTGAGGATCAATGCCACCACGGTCAAAATGACATTCAAACGCCAACAAATTTTTCGTGTAGTGTTTTCGTAACGTGTATGCGGCGCTAGATGAGGCACCGATACCTAACATTCCTGCAATATCTTTCCACGTTTTATTTTTCGTCACCTGCAAGTTATAATGAACATAAATGAAATGCAATGACAGGTGGTAACATCAACTTACCTCCATAAAGCCTCCCCTATCTTTAACGTAAACATATAGACGGAAAAGATCAAGGGGATTCTTTGAAATAGTTGGGCACGTTGTGATGGGCGTTCTTCTCTCTTCCATGAATGCTAGAAGCTTATCGAGCCAAGTTCTCCTATCTGGACTATCATCCATATCATACAGTTTACTCAAGCTGTCCGTTTTCTGTAAAGCAATAATCTGGTAAGTTCTTAAGTCCTAGACTACTTTGCGTAAGCTATGGTTATGAGAAGCGGTAATCTGTTTTCTTTTGTTATGATTATGCAGACATGCTATGGTGCAAGCAATAATATTATAAAATAACGACAATTAAATATATATGCATATAAACCTTTGAACGGTATGTTTCCTGAGGTGGCACATGGCTGTTAAATACCTGTAAATACCACTAATTGTTAGCAAAAAGTAATATACAAAATAAACTTATAGTAATCATAATAAGTTCTTCTTTTGCAGGATAATATTAAACAGCTCCGCAGTTACTCATTGGGTACAAATGAATAGAAAATATTTCATATCAAATGGACAACACTTACTGGACTTGCTGGAGTTCTGGGCCAACTTGGGCTGCTAAGATCGCCATATTCTTCGTGCATGGAGTTCATACTAGCAGCCCCTGGCGAAGGCACGGTGCTTTGGGGCGTTGTCGGGTGACTATAATTATGACGTTTTGGTGTCGTACACTGTGGATCTTCACCTGATGCTAAATAATACAAAATAATCATATAAAATAAAAGTACCGACTGGATTGTTGATTTTGAGTTTTACCTGCAGATGCATTCGAAAGTGTAGATTGCTGGGATCCCTCATCGATTTGTGTACCATCCGGACCGGTGGTAACAACGGACGTTACGGAGCCTCCGGCGGCGGACGTAACATGCGTGGCTAAACTTCCGGCTGCAGTTGTGGTGATGCCATTGTCCATCATTTCGGAAACCATTGGATGATGGGAATTAGGGGTAGAGCTGGGCGGTGGCATGGGACCGTCGTGGGGATGGTTATTTGGTAAATGTGGGCTAGTGGCCGGCGGCATATTGGGAGGACCCATGCTGGGCGGCGGACCCATGCCACTGTGATGGTGTCCCGAGGGCGGCGGACCCATGTGGTAGTTTTGTGGGGGACTTTGACTGGGTGGCATCGGTGTCTGAGAATTGCCAAAACCCAAAACCTTTTGTTGTAAATGCTGCTTGAGGTAGAGAGGCGGTCTCGTTGGACCTGGTGATGGGGAGTTGGGGCTCGGCGGCGGTCCGTTGCCCTTACCCGGTATGTGGTTACCCGAACTGACGGTGGGACCGCCGGGCCAAGTCTGTTGGTAAGGTGGGAACTGGGAGTTGCCCATATGGTTCGGCCCTGTTCTGTTAGGATACTGTTGCGGAGGCATACTATTGTTCGGCGGCGCTTGCGACGACGGTTGTCCATAGCCTTGGTTCGGGTACTGCGGCCTCGCGGGATAATTTCCTTGCTGGTATTGCGGATTCGCTTGGTACAAAGGCATCTGCTGGCCGGCCGAAGGCACCATCCCCGGATGTCCCTTGTAGCCGTGCATATGGGGCGGCGGGTAACTGCCTTGCGTAGCCATCGCCGGTGAATGGCTCATCCTTGTTGATCCACTGCCATCGGATTGACCACTCGAAGGACGCGGAGGCATCGGAATGTTTTGCTGACCTGCAAACCAAATCGAAGTGTTACATTTCTGTCTCCAAAACCAACTATTATACGCGTAATCCATTGCTAATTGCCGAGGACACTATAATGAAGACACTTCAGAATCCGCCAACAAATTACCAGGATTGCCGATTCGAAACTGAACCAAGTTTCCGATTGCAATTGAATTTATGCTCACGTGTAAGGTGTACATTTGCGTCAGAGGGATGGTTGTTACATACAACTGCGTGGATGGCAGTGTTGCATCATCATATATATATATGGGGGTGTAAGAATAGGCACAAAGCAGACGTGATGACTGGATAACTCTGGAATTGGCAGCGCCCGGGGACGGGGTAGGTAGGGGATACTGGGGGTTTGTTGGGGTTGGGGCGGTGTTTGGGTGGCTTGGTTAGGGTAAAATCTGGAATGTTCGTAGTAAAATGTAGGTCAATGTTGAGGAGACCCCCATTTTATCGAACATCCGCGAGAGTAGTAGTAGTACTCAATGAATCCACCACGTGGTAACGAATGCAGTTTGGAACACGTGAGAAGTCCAGCAATTAACAAAAGTTAACTTGTTTTTGTTTACTTACCGACTGCTGGAGACATGGACCTGGAACCCGTCGAACCCGTAGGGGAAGGCGTCGGCCTCATCCCCTGCGAATTCGGTGTTCCGGGTGCAGGTCCTCCCGAACTATCATTGCTATTCCCACCACTTAAATCCTGCAACAAACAAAAATAAAACGTTTTAAAACGAGGAACAAAACAATAAAAGTTAATTATCGAATAATAGCCATAAACACAAATTCATTATTCAAACTCTGCAGCCATACACACTATGTAAATATAAACTGTAAATACCAAAATCAAATAATTCTACCATCAAACAATAAACGAAAAGGAGAAAAACAGCATAACTTTTTTCTTTCCGTTGTTGTCCTTAGTTCTATTTTATGTGAACATGTGATTTACAACAAAATCAGTTCATGCTGATATTAGTTGACCTTTGTTGCGATTAGAAACAAATTTCGTGAGGCGCGAAATTGATATTGCAAGCAAGTCGGAGGCGGAATAAGACGACTTCCATTCAGTTGCCCGTAGGGCCGTAACGTGTGAGAATTTTAACGACGGAATCAATTTGGAAAATATTTCAATTACGGCGAAGTGATTTCCCCGCCAATTTACGAAATCGCCGGCAATTTAAAAGACCAAGCCAAGCGCCATTAAAAATCCATTCCGGGTGATAGGACGGATGAGGACGGTCGCGCTGTGCGTTTTGGCTCTGATTGCTGACGACCTGCCGCTTTCTAATTGCCGGATAACAACTGCTTCCGAGAATTATCCAGAAGAATAAGTTTATCCTTACGTTCTTAGGAATCACATCAATCTTTGATGGTTTGATGGTTAAAGTCTGCCTTCTAAGAATTTTCTAATGACTTAACTGTTTGCGAGTGTTCGCCATATTTCTTGGATGAACGTCTCCATAGTTTATACTGTAAAGCAGCAAAATTAAAATAATTGATTTTTGCTTTGTTTTAAGTTATTACAGGTTTCCTTAATGCATGTTATAACTTACATAATAAAATGCATTTATAAAGAAATAAAATATCTGCATTAGAAATAGTACAGTAAATATAATTTTATCACTTAAACAAACTCTTTATCGGTTGTAGTAAAATTACATTTGTGGCGTTTTGATTAGATAAAACGCACGTTAGTAATTGATCCATGAATTGACCAAACGTGATATTCCATTTGCAGATTTACATTTTGCAACAAAGAAGTAAACAACATTTCTACAACAATCTTAGATTTGGAAAATGAAAAAATACATACATTTATTAGATATTATATGTATAATGAAGTATGAACAATTGTTCAATGCTTTATAGACAATAATGAAGTCTTGCAGCATAAAAGTACGCTGAACACATTGGATAAAATGGAACAAACATTTTTTTTTATTTAAGTGATTCTATTTTGCGAAAGCGTACTGGAACAATGAAATAATCATTTTCACATGGTAGAAGGGGAGCGGCCATGAATGAAGCCAACAACTGCATTTGCTGCAGCGTGCAGATAGATGGTAAATGGGATGTGTGTTAGTACTGTACCAACGAACACAACATAATAAAATTGAGATTGCGTTTGGAATGCGAATAGAATTGTATGGAGCAGCAGCATCTGATTCACATGGGGGAAGCCAAAGAGATGCGCGCGTATATATGTGTGTAACATTCCAAATGTAGAAAACAGGTTACCCATATTCTGAAATTTAAATGGGCAACAAAGGAGAAAAGAAGACTTAAAAAATGCATGTGTGTACACACACACACACGCGGAACAAAACTAAACTGGGACAAGGACGGTCATGGCGAGGGATGCCAATGTAAATTCTCCTCCAATTAAACCTAACTGTACCGAAAACAAAAATAAAAAGGATGCAGACAAAAGAGAGAAGAACCTAATTTTGCATGCGAACGTGAAAGAAAGAACCATGAACTTGGTCGAGCGAACGCAAATGAATAGAACGAAGAAAGTAAACAGCGCTGCAGTCCCCAAACATTTTTTTTGTAAGGACAAACAAGGTTTTTGAGCTCAGCTCCATTGTTGTCAAACTTAACGGAACGCACGTGACGTCACCCCGGTGGCGGCACAGGAGGAGAAAATGATAAATAATCGAAAATGCGAAACATCATCATTATATACAACAACAACAACGATGCATCCCCTCATGGATGGTAGGTGTTTCGTTCTATGGTATTTACACGTACCGGTCGAAGCGTATTCCATATACTTTAGTGTAGGCCTGGCAGGTATGAGCTGAAGCGTTGGCGGGATTGTAATAAACACACTTAGTTCGAGGGATGTATACCATGTACTATAAACTAGAAAGTTGTATCCTTTCTGCACTTGGGGTTGCTGGACGATAGTATCACTGTAGAATCCAAGAACTGCCGGTGGAGCGCTCGAAACAGCATTTAAATTTTTGAACTTTTGAACATATCCATCTGCATGCGTGTGTACATCAAAACTACAACAACATCCGTGGATGGGTTACGCGAACTGCTGTGGGATATCGGCCACTTGTTTATTTATTTTGTTGCTTGTCCTCTCTCTTCTATAGGTGTATCTGCTTGCTGGTATTTGATGTTTCTCTCGGACGAGCGGCAACGCACTGGATTATACGTGTGCAACGGTTAATTCGAACACGAGACATGGGACTAGACCGCCATCGCAGCGCACAGCCTGCCAACCGGTGGACGAGGACGGAACCACGTGCGAGAGAAGGACGAACGCGTATACCATTGGAGCAATGAACATGCAACTAGAAACTGGCTGCTTGGTTGCTTGCTAGCTAGCTAGCAAGGGACCGCGGGGTTCCTCCATTCGCCCGACCGCACCTATCTAACCAACATGCGCAGTTGCCAAACCGTACCAGCGCGCCATCAACCATCGAACAACACGAGGAGGAGAGGAGAAAAAGGCATACTACGCGCGCCAAGCCGGAGAACGCACTCCACTCTACAAACCAGGGGACCATCCCAAATACCCAACCATGCCTTCTGCCCCTAACCATGAACACGCACAGCTAGATTTCCACGTACCATCGAAGACAAAACAACAACAAAAATATATCCGAACCGTTCTCCTAGGCGACTTTCCACGAACACAACTCAAACTGACAACCACGCGTACCCTTTTCAATAATTCACGTTCCGAAAATAAAAAGAACCACACTGTATATACGTATACATATATTACGCATGCATATATTCGTCCCGCCAAATAAACAATAAAGAAACGTTCGAGGACTGCTGGCCCGAACATGCATCATAAACGACAACAATAAAAAATCATTATAAATTCAGCTTTCAACGTTAATGATATTTTACAACCTTCTATGTCTAAATTTCTAATGTCATTTTATAACGTAATAAACAACAACTTTGGTAAAGTTTTACATTACAAAATGTTAAATTATATGAGTATAGCTTAATTACTTCCAAAAAAATAAACTTACTCACTCATTTCATCTACTTAAGTTAATTTATTCTTAAGTAATTCATATTTTGTAATATTATTTCTATATTGCAATTCAATTATGACGAATTTTAACCAGGTTTTTAACTTGGTAAACTAAATAAATAAAACATTGACTCTATTAGGGAATAACGATTTCATAATTAATTCAATTATTGTCATTAAGCTAAATTTGATTTTGATATATAATTAATTAAAAATTGATCATTAACAGCACTTTACTATTTTCAATAGTTTTCTAGCATCCTAACCAAACTTAATGAATATACAAATAATTAAATGAAATGCACACTCACTGTAAATGTAAGTCATCGAAAGCTATAAACGTAAAACTGGTAATTGCAACGTAAAGTTTGAACGCAATATCGATATTGGTCAGTAAATATGAATTGGAGAATACAAATAGAAGTGCAGTTTAGCACTTGAGCGATTGATTTAGGGTGCAACCGATTGTATAAATATTTCATTCCTAAACTATTTTCAATCATTCAATAATATAACTACTATGGCGTAATGTCTTTCACTGTTCGATAATTAATTCCTTCGCATTTGCAAGCTCGAGAGCTTCACTACTTAATTATATATACCAGTGCAGAAAAAAACTATATAAAAGACGAAGAACCGTTTTACAGTCCTCTATTTATTTGCAAATTGAAAAATCAACAGTGGCTACTGCTTTCACAGGGCACTCTGAAAATACACTTATTTAGTAAATTAACTAGACTAGCTTTGTTTACATAGCGTAGGAGCAGTGCTATGAACATTATAAAAAAAATATGTATGTTTGTACTGAGAAAACTAATGTATTTTTAGTGAGATCATCAAATATACATTTAAAAGAAATTTTTATGATGTGACCGTATTTTTCTTCTTCAAAACATATACCAAATTTAATTAAAGACATAAATTCAATAAACAATTTAAAATATGCAAAAATAAAACAAAAACTGACGTAAATATCCTTTGTTGTCGTTGAAATTCGCTTGCAATAAGTTGAATAAAAACATAGAACGGAACAATGAAGCATTGCTTCTGTAAACAGTAAATAAAGTTTAAGCCTAGTAAATATAAAGGTAACTATAAAAATATTTGTTCGTTTTTTGCAACAAACACGGAGTATAATCATCTAGGTGATATTAAAGCCTCTTAGGACTGGTCCACCAGACTCCTATAGAAATGTAACAACTAATCTAATGCAGATGTGAAAATGACAAAAATTAAATCCCCGTGAATTATTAGGGACTCTAGAACAATGTTACCAGAACCGAATGCAAACTATTGTCTCTAATTAAATCTCATAACAATTATCCCGTAGCTTACTTTACGTATATGCAACGCAGTGCTTACTATAACTGAAATAACTTATGAATAACGTTTCTTTTCTTTGAGCTAATGATGTCATTATTGACTAATATTAGAGCTATTTGAAATAAGTACGTTTGTGGTGTTTTTGTTTTGAGAGATTGGAAATGTGCATGTGCTTAAAACGATTTACTAGTTTCGCGAGGTTTATTATGCAATAAAAAAGGCTGTTTTCTATCAAATGCGACACAATGGAAATAAGCTTTTCGATATCAACGAGTTCATGTTGCCAATTTCGAGATTGTTTGTAAATGTTTATAAATATTTGTACACATGTGCATAATATGCAAAAAGAAAAGGTTGCTTTTTCCAGTTCG